ATAAGCAACATGGAATTGGCATGGACCAGTGATGTGGGTTTTTCCATGTACTTTCTGTCTTTGTGACTACAAAGGCAAAGCATTAATTCCAGCTTTGTAACCTTTTTTTTTCTAAGCACTGTCATATAATAAAGACTTCACAGTTTTCATTTGAATTAAGTCTAAATCCAGATCTAAGCCTACTGGTGTATTGACTTTCCTTCAGTCCTGAAATAATAAAACAGTAAAAATGCAGACATTGTTCATGATCAAGGAAACAAATGGCACACATCTTGATTTTCAAGTTTGCAGGCTGCTTGCTTCAGCAGAATATGTACGTGCAGCACTGAGCCATGAAGTTTTCTTTCCCCACATTTCAAGCCACTCTTCCATTACATCCCCAAACTCCTCTCCTCATTACACTCTTGTCCGCTTTATTCCAAGTTAAGTGTGTTATGGAACTAATTCTTATCTCAGTCTCCTTCCATCTTTCTTAATTCTTTCTTTATGTATATCTTTGTCTTTTGAAGTGTTGATATTTTTTAATTAGCTTAAGGGCAAATATAGTGAACTCACATTATCAGCTGGGAATGCTGCATTTTAAAGGTCAAGCAAATAGCAAATTTGATGAGTATGCTACCTCACTGATACTAAACCAGAGATGAAAAAGGTGGTGGCTGTATGAGGGGCTCTTTTCTTCTTCTTCTCCCCTTTATCTTTCATTCTTTTTTTCCTGAGAGTGATGTATGTGAAGGTGTGCGTTCTCACATGTTTGTGCATGTGTACATGTGTGTATGTATAGGGATACAGAGGAGAGAAGAGGAGAAAGAGGGAGACAGGAAGAGAGAGTGAGGCAGGAGTTGGATAATATTAATAATGGCTAAAATACATACATACATACATATATATATATATATATATTGGAAGCAAAAACACACGAGAAACACATAAGGTTGACACAGGAGGGAAAATAGATCTTTGGATGGAGGAAACAGCTGAATCATGGAATACAAGGTTGCATACTCTAAATTAGCCCACATATATTTCTTCAGGGTTACCCTTAACAACTATCACACTATCAGCAATATTCAGAGGCACACCCACTGCATTTCCACATGGGCACAGCCACTCCTATCTCTCCTCTGTCTCTGGCCTCCCTTTCTCTAACTTCCAGACACGTGCACACGGAACTCTGCTTTTTCCAGAAACCTTTTGGTATTTCCTGCTATTCCTTTTCTTTCCATCTCCAGATTGATTCTTATTCCCAGACTGTGCAAGCTGGTAGTTGGCCTGATTATCCGATTAAAATAGGCAGATAGAAATGAGTCAATTTCTGTCCAAAAGGCATACTTCAAAGGAGATTGTTAACGCTAGTGGGCTTCTACGCACACTTTCTGGTTCTTGAGTAAGTAGATTTTCATCAGCTTCACAAAGGAACCCACCTCCAGAATATTAAAGTACATTCATCTGGTTAGCAAAATGTACAGAGGAACTATTTTTGCACTGAGGTAAATATCTGAGCTGCTGGTCTAGTTAGAAGAACCATATACACCATTCCCATCAGTCCAGAAATCTGGTCAATCTTACAGCCTTGCCCATTCTGCCCCTCATTTTTGCAAAGAACATACCCTATGGCAGAATACAAAGCGAAAGGCAGAGGTACAGTGAGCAGTGGCGGGCCCAGAGGCCAGTCAATCTTGTACTACGAAAATTATATGAAATTAAATGCATGCATATACATGCATATATATATTTTCATTAAAAGCTAAAACTGGAGAGAAGTTGAAAGAACAATAATCTATCATACCCACTTCACCTAGATTTATCAGTTTAGTATTTTACCACACGTGCATTATCTATCTTGAGTAAAGCAGTTGAGAGTTAAGTTATATATATAAAAGACTTTTTAGAAAATTTAAAATTTATTTTATTATTTATTTGGAAGGCAGTCAGACAGATATCTTCCATCTATCATTGTACCCCATAACTGGTGACATTAACTTTGATCATTTGGCTAGGGTGGTGCCTGTCACATTTCTTTGCTGTAAAAGTAACTTTGCTAACCTTTTGTAATGAATAAGAAGTTGGAAGACACTATCAGATTGTGTAGACATCCTGTTCCCCAGCCAAGTTGTACCCAATGATTTTAACGTCTATTGATAATTTTTGTCTGAATCAATGATTACCATAATTGTTGCAAAATGGTGATTTTCTAATTTCAGAGTATCTTCTACATATATTGGTTGCATTCCACTGTCAAGAACTTTCAGCCTTCCATTTGTTGATTTATTTACTAAAAAGCTTAAGAGTAACTATGCACTTATGGATTCTTTTTTTTTTTTACATCACTGTGGTACATCTTTCTTTTTTAAAAAACTTTTATTTAATAAAATATAAATTTCCAAAGTACAGTTTATGGATTACAATGGCTTCCCCCCCCATCACTTCCCTCCCACCCACAACCATCCCATCTCCCGCTCCCTCTCCCATTCCATTCACATCAAGATTCATTTTCAATTCTCTTTATATACAGAAGATCGATTTAGCATATATTAAGTAAAGATTTCAACAGTTTGCACCCACACTGAAACACAAAGTGAAAAAATGCTGTTTGAGTACTAGTTATAGCATTAATTCACATTGTACAACACATTAAGGACAGAGATCCTACTTGAGGAGTAAGTGCACAGTGACTCCTGTTGTTGACTTAACAAATTGACACTCTTGTTTATGGCATCAGTAATCACCCTAGGCTCTTGTCATGAGTTGCCAAGGCTATGGAAGCATTTTGAGTTCGCTGACTCCGATCTTATTTAGACAAGGTCATAGTCAAAGTGGAAGTTCACTCTTCCCTTCAAAGAAAGGTACCTCCTTCTTTGATGGCCCATTCTTTCCACTGGGATCTCACTCGCAGAGATCTTTCATTTAGTTTTTTTTTTGTTTTGTTTTTGTTTTTGTTTTTTTGCCAGAGTGTCTTGGCTTTCCATGCCTAAAATACTCTCATGGGCTCTTCAGCCAGATCCAAATGCCTTAAGGGCTGATTCTGAGGCCAGAGTGCTGTTTAGGACTTCTGCCACTGTCTTGGGGCCAGTGCTGTGGCGCAGCAGGTTAACGCCCTGGCCTGAAGTGCCAGCATCTGATATGGGCACCAGTTCTAGTCCCGGCTGCTCCACTTCCAATCCAGCTCTCTGCTGTGGCCTGGGAAAGCAGTAGAAGATTGCCTAAGTCCTTGCACCTCTGCACCCACATGGGAGACCCGGAGGAAGCTGCTGGCTCCTGGCTTCAGATCAGTGCAGCTCCGGCCACTGCAGCCATCTGGGGAGTGAACTAGCAGATGGAAAAGCTCTCTCTCTGTCTCTACCTCTCTCTCTAACTCTTTCAAATAAATAAAATAAATCTTTTTTAAAAAATCCACTGTCTTGTGGCAATGCAGCCATCTGGGGGCTGACTCAGCAGATGGAAGATCTCCTTCTCTCTGTCTCTCCCTTTTTCTAATTATGCTTTTCAAACAAATAAATCTGTTTTTTTTTAAATTCAGTCTTACAATCTATTTCTATCAATATTCATTCTTGAAGTTCAAATTGTCTCAGATTTGATAAATGGGGGTACCTTCAAGCTTTCTCTTTTTCTTTCGATATATCCTCCTTGACATACAAGAAATCTCTGGCATAAGAGATTGAAATCTCTTGGAATACTTTCCTTGTCTCTGCCCTGGAATCAGCCATTTCACCAAGAGGCAGAGTTCCTCGTGGAGAATGGTATTCAGAAACAAGATCTGAGGGACAGCACTGTGGCACAGTGGGCTGAGCCACCATCTGCAATGCTGGCATCCCATATGGGCACCCGTTCCAATCTCACTGCTCCACTTCTGATCCAGCTCCCTGCTAATGCACCTGGGAAAGTAGCGACAAATGGCCCAAGTGCTTGGGCTGTTGCACCCACGTGGGGCACCCAGTGGAGTTCCAGGCTTCTGGTTTCTGGCGGTTGCCGCCACTTGGGGAGTGAACCAGTAGATGGAAGATTTCTGTCTCTCCCTCTCGCTCTGCCTTTCAAACAAGTAAAATAAATCTTTTATAAAAAGGAAAGAAAGAAAGAAACCACGATCCTGGGAGTAATCTGGGGAGTACATATTTCCGGATATTAAAATACCAACTGTCCCTATTTCTTTGAGGCATTCTGTAGTGATTTACAATCCTAACTCTATCATGACCTGTGTGATCCTGGCAGATCCCCTCATTGCTAGCAGCCTACCTCATCATCTGAAAAGAGATTGGATTAGTAAGTAATTTCTTAACCTTTTCAGGGTCGCCAACACGTTTGGGATTCTGAATGGAGCTATGGTCCCATTTCCCCAGAAACACGCTCACATAAAGCAAAATGTTGCCTACATTTCAGGCAGCTCCAAGTTCCGAAGCCAGTTTGAGGCTGCAAATCCCAGGACAGAGTGTTCTCTTAGGGTCTCTTCAACGCTGCTGCTGTGAGAACGACTCCACGGAGACACCCAACTGTGGAGGGATTTATATAGCAAAGGACACAAAGGAACCTGTGAGCAATGCATTGCTCAGCCACAGTTCTTTGCTGGTGCCAAATTGAGGACGCGCTGTACTCCGAGGCGAGAGGTTTTTGGCGGGAAGGTCCCCAGGTGGGCGGAGAACGCCTGGGCGAGGAAGGAGCGCACAGGCCGGATTCGGGTCGCTGCACCCCTCCGCACCGCCCACCAGGGCTCGCTCTTGCCCTTCCGCTGGAAAGCCTAGCGACGGGGCGGGCCCGGCTTGGACCCCGCCCCCGGCAGCGCGAGGCGCTGGGGAGCCGGCGGGGCGCCAGAGCCCGGAAGGAACGCGCCGGCCAGGCCCCGCGCCCCTCCCCGCGCACCGTCCCTCCCACCCTCCCGCCCGGCGCCGACGTCGGCGGTGCTCCGGTCGCCATGGTGACCAATCGAGACCCGGTCCCGCCCCCGCCCTCCTCCCGGCCCCCTGACGTCGGTGCACGTCAGCGGCGGCGCGCGCCTGGCTGGGCCCTGTGGAGCGGGAGGGAAGGAGCGAAGGAGCGAGCTGAGCGGCGGTCGCCAAAGCCGAGCCTCGCTGCCCGCCCGCCCGCCCGCGCTCCAGTCGCCGTGTCTAGCAGCGGGGCCCAGCATGGTCATGGCGGATGGCCCGAGGCACTTGCAGCGCGGGCCGGTCCGGGTGGGGTTCTACGACATCGAGGGCACGCTGGGCAAGGGCAACTTCGCGGTGGTGAAGCTGGGGCGGCACCGGATCACCAAGACGGAGGTGCGGCCCGGGGTTCGGCGGGAGCGTCTGAGGCGAGGGTTCGGGAGAGGAACTGTTTACCGAAAAGGGTGGCTGCAGCGGTGGGGCCGGGGGGGGGGCACGAGGCCGCGCCACTCGCTCAGGCGAGCGGGCCTGGGGCCGCGAGGACCCAGGAGGTGCAGGGTATCGGGGCCGGGCTCCCCCGGACTCCGGCGCCGTCCGAATGGCAGCCCGACCAGCTGGGGCTTCGCTTTCCCCCTCGCCGCCTCCGGTGGCCACTCGGAATTTCGCCTCGAGCCTCCCACCCGGGCCGTGACCTGGTCTGTGGCCTCCGCTCCGCAGCCCAAGTTCCGCGTCTTCCCTGCTTTCGGCGGGGGGTGGGGTGGGAGGGGAAGTCTCGGTGCTCCGGGACTGCGCCGTGAGAGACGGCGCCCGCTCGCAGACGGCACCGGCTGCGCTCGGGCTGCGCGGCCGGGAGGACCGCGCGCCCCCCTGACCCCGACGGCCCGGCCCTGCCCGGCGAGGAAGGGGCCGGGGGGCCGGGTGTAGGCACTGGCAGTCTCCTCTCGCTCCTCTCGCCCCGCAGTGTCTCTGGTGTTGAGTGTCTGGCGAGCTTGATCAGTTGCCTGAGGCATTTCCATCTAATGCTCCAGACAATAGAACTGGTTAAAATGGTCATCTGCGTTTGCACCGTTGGTGGGTTAGCCTCTCTCTGGCTCAGGGGGTGTCCCCTTGGCCAGTGGGCGTTCTGGCCGTGAATGCGCATTCCTGAAGCCACATCGGATTCTGTCCGCTCCCCGAGCCCTCGGCGGCTTGCTGACGGGCGCAGCCCGCATCCCCCTCCGGCGCACATTCGAATGCACCACACATAATTCCTCCCGAGTCTCTTTCTTACCTAACCCGCCCCCCTTCCTTCCACTGCCTGAAGCTCCTCTCCTGAGGTCTCTATTTTAAAGACGCGCACATCAAATATCTTAGGAAAACGGTCGAGAGACACCCATTCTTTGAAATAAAACCTGCCGGTTTGGATGTACTCTGTTCTCATTGTGGCAGCCACTGGGTCGTGATGCTTTTTCAGCCCGCCCCACACGACCATCTCATTTTTCGGTTTTTTCCCGGTATTAGTATGAATACACTGGAGTTTGAATGTGGAGTAAAGTAGAACTTTTTTTCCCCCCCAGAATGACTTATGTAAGGCGAAGGTTGTTTGAAAACTTGAGTGATTTTTGTGGCTGTTGCTGTGCTTGGAAATTTTGCCTAACGTCCATTGCTTTTTGGAGTCTGTGTCATTCTGTCATCTCCACGTTTTGCTTCCCCTGCTGATCCTGAAGCAACCTCCATTGGACCTATTTTTTTAGCGTGAGGACCAAGGTCACAGATTTTCCTCTTACAGATTTACAACTGTTGGCAGTTTAGGTTAAGTTTGGAATGATAGTGATAGTTTTACTGTAGTGACATTACCGAATCTTTCTGTAGCTTAATCCCATCCCAGCATTTTTAAAAATGAGGAAAGTGGCTCCATTCCTCTGAAGAGCGTGTCTAATGCCATGCTGTCCTCCCTTGCACGCCATAAAAAGAAGGCATTTTAGATGCACGTTTTTGCAGGAATCCTGACTTAATGGCTTTGTAAAACTCCAGTTGTGCCTCACAAAGGGGTTCTAGGGAACTTCTGATCCACGTTATTTTGTGAATTATAAACTCATCTGTTCCTTTTTTATTTTTTTGTCACAAGCTCCTATTGGTACTAACAGCAAGATTTAATAAAGTCAACTGTTATTTATCAGGTCAAATTTAGTTAGCATGCGGTATCTGTGGGTACTTAAGTGGAGCTGGTAGTGCCTGACACTTTCTCTTGAGATTGTCCGTTCCAATGGTGTCCTTTTTAAGCGTACATGTCTTAGAGAGCTAGGGGGCACTGTGGAGTAATAGAGTCGTTTAGTTATTGGTAGTGTGAGATCAATGCATTTATAATTGAAGACGGCAACCAGATGGTGCAAGAGCACTCAGATCCTAAATTGTCTGTGTAGTATGTAAAATGATTTAAGTTAAAAGTCACTGTTTTAGTCCATGGGACCTGTCTTGTGCATTTTTTTATTATTATTATTTTTTGACAGGCAGAGTGGACAGTGAGAGAGAGGCAGAGAGAAAGGTCTTCCTTTGCCGTTGGTTCACCCTCCAATGGCCGCCGCGGCTGGTGCGCTTCGGCCAGTGCACCGCGCTGATCCGAAGCTAGGAGCCAGGTGCTTCTCCTGGTCTCCCTTGGGGTGGAGGGCCCAAGCACTTGGGCTATCCTCCACTGACCTCCCGGGCCACAGCAGAGAGCTGGCCTGGAAGAGGAGCAACCGGGACAGAATCGTGCGTCCCGACTGTGACTAGAACCCGGTGTGCCGGCACCGCAGGCGGAGGATTAGCCTATTGAGCCGCGCGCGGCGCAGCCAGCTACGTCTTGTGCATTTTAAAAGTACTAATTAGCCAAAATAGTGTGAATTTAAGATGGGTGAATGTGTTTGTGGTCATTTGCTATCAGGGGATGTATTTAGTCCCGGTTGGGGCGCCGGATTCTGTCCCGGTTGCCCCTCTTCCAGGCCAGCTCTCTGCTGTGGCCAGGGAGTGCAGTGGAGGATGGCCCAAGTGCTTGGGCCCTGCACCCCATGGGAGACCAGGAGAAGCACCTGGCTCCTGCCTTTGGATCGGCGCAGTGCGCCGGCCGCGGCAGCCATTGGAGGGTGAACCAACGGCAAAAGGAAGACCTTTCTCTCTTTCTCTCTCTCTCACTGTCCACTCTGCCTGTCAAAATAAATAAATAAATAATAATAAAAAAGAAGTGAGGAAGATGGCAAGGCAGTGGCTGAACAGAAAAGTTCCTGTAGATCTTGATACATTTTATAAAGTTAGTTTGTGAACTTTTATAGGTAATTTACATTCAGAATTGTTCAGCTAGAGCACAGCCTCAGTTTTTTCTTTAAAGAACACTATTTGATGTTAATGAGGGTTTTTTTAAAGCATTGTTTATTTTCTACATCCACTGGATGTGGATGTGTGTCTTTTTTTTTTTTTTTTAAGGTTTATTTATTGTTTGAAAGTCAGAGTTATACAGAGAGAGGGAGAGGTCTTCCATCTGATGGTTCACTCCCCAATTGGCTGCAACGGCCGGAGCTGTGCCGATTCGAAGCCAGGAGCCAGGAGCTTCCTCTGTGTCTCCCACGTGGGTGCAGGGGCCTAAGCACTTGGGCCATCCTCCACTGCTTTCCTAGGCCACAGCAGAGAGCTGGATTGGAAATGGAGCAGCCAGGACTCGAACCGGTACCCATATGGGATACTGGCACTGCAAGCAGCAGCTTAACCCACTGCACCAGCCCCAGTGGGTGTGTGTCTTTAATATATACAACTATCTACCTTAAAACTGTAATTAAGCTAGTGAAGTCTTTAACGTTTTGTTTTATTTTAGGTTCATTGTTGAATATACTACAATAATAGAACAATTACAGAATCAACAAACTGTTACAATTAATCCTATTGTTTATAAAAGTATCTTTGTATACTGTGCTCTAACATCAGTGTAAGTTTGCATGTTTCAAGCCTTAGAAGCCTCTTCCCCAGGTTGGGTCCAGAGGCAGATTTCAGAGTAAGCATCTGTGCAGAGTGTCATGTGCAGTCGGGGCACAGTCAGGCCTTCCGTTACTGATGGGCTCTTCTCTGTCCCTTGTCCTGTATTACGCAGAGATAATGTATGCTGTGCAGAGCTTGTGAGTTCCAAGTTTGCTTCCCTTTTGGAAAAAAAAAATCATCATTTTAATCTACTCTTTTTTTTTTATTTTTATTTATTTATTTTTTTGACAGGCAGAGTGGACAGTGAGAGAGACAGAGAGAAAGGTCTTCCTTTGCCGTTGGTCCACCCTCCAATGGCTGCCGCGGCCGGCGCACTGCGCTGATCCGAAGGCAGGAGCCAGGTGCTTCTCCTGGTCTCCCATGGGGTGGAGGGCCCAAGCACTTGGGCCATCCTCCACTGTACTCCCTGGCCACAGCAGAGAGCTGGCCTGGAAGAGGGGCAACCGGGACAGAATCCGGCGCCCTGACCGGGACTAGAACCCGGTGTGCCGGCGCCACAAGGCGGAGGATTAGCCTAGTGAGCCGCGGCGCCGGCCAATCTACTCTATCAAATAGTAACATTGCTCAAGGAGTCGGTGCTGTGGTGTATTGGGTAAAGCTGCCACCAGCTCTCTGCTGTGGCTTGGGAAAGCAGTGGAGGATGGCCCAAGTCCTTGGGCCCCTGCACCCGCGTAGGAGACCCAGAAGAAGCTCCTGGCTTCGGATCGGCATAGCTCCAGCAATTGTGGCTAATTGGGGAGTGAACCAGCAGATGGAAGACCTCCCCCCACCCCCCACCTCTCCTTCTTTTTTTTTTCTTTCTCTGTGTAACTCTAACTTAAAAAAAAAGTTGTTCAAGAAGTATAATTACATCATCATCTGAAGCAGCTATTCCTGTGTTAGATCTCTATGTAAATTTTACACACAAAGGGAAGGCAGGTGGTGGTAGAATTCAGCTTCTTAATACAATATTTCATAAAAGCTTTGTAGTACTGGTTTGTGGCTTATGATTTAGAGAAGCTAGTTTTACAGAATTAGCATATGGGAAAAGAATAATAGCATTTAGGCAATTAAACTATTTTAGGCAGTAGTAGTTGTTAGTTTGCTATTCTGTGAGTGTCCTTAAGTGGTGTTTTGTTTTATTAATACTTTACCAGAAAATAACTATCTTTCTAGCTAAATTTTTTGTCTCAAGTAAAATTCCAGAAAGACTACTTGTGCCCCTAAATTTGTTTCCTATTAAAGAAGCAGTGTCTTACTGTAGAAAATAAAAAGGATAAAGAAAAGCGTAGTATACAAAGAAAGTGTATGTATGGTGCCTCCCATCAATGGCAATAAACCATTCTTAACAATGTGGCATTTTCCTCTATAATCTCTTTTTAAAATGCATTTTTCCATAGATGGGATCACATGATACATATGTATAAATTGTA